CACGTGACCTACCGAATGATCAAGAAGAAGAAGAAGAAGAAGAAGAAGAAGAAGAAGAAGAAGAAGAAGATGAGCCGAGAAGGGGGGGGTAGGTGGACGGCCTGTTGTATCTCACGTGGCCTACTGAATGATCAAGAAGAAGAAGAAGAAGAAGAAGAAGAAGAAGAAGAAGAAGAAGAAGAAGAAGAACGGCGCCTTTGTCGCCGGGGCCTTCGTCGTAGCAGCAGCAGCAGGACAGTCGATGGCGATGGCGACGGGCGATGGGCGACGGGCGACGGTGCAGCAGGACGACGCAGGAGCAACTCCGATCGTGCTGGGGGGCGAGTGGCAGACCACCCCAGCCGATCCCAGGTTTGAACGGGGGGGAAGGTTTGCGCCGGCGCGAATTTAAAAAAAGCAGGCCTACCGGGCCCGACGCAACGGTTTCTTGGGCCGGTCGGACCCGCTATGCCTGCTGGAGGCCAACACCAGCCAAAAAGGGGTCCGAAACCCCCTTACAGGTGAGTGCGCTGGGGGGGCCCGGTCCCCAACCGGGTGCCCTGCCCGGCCAGGCCGCCCGGGACCTCCCCCGGGCCCCTGCCAATCACCCGGGTGGCCCGGATCCCCACTCAGGAAAAATCGTCAAAGATGGCGGTGTCAAAACGTGCTCGCGCACTCACTATTTTGTTTCTTCTCTCTTTTCACTTTTAGTTTTCACTTTAATTTATTTCGGGGCCTAAACAATTTTATTATTTTTTTAATTTTTTGAATCATGTGAGATACACATCTGTAAAATTTCAGGGCATTTGACTATGCGAAAAAAAAAAAAAAAAAAAAATTTGCCAACGATGTCGGTGTTTAAAACATGCCCGCCCATGCCGAGGCTGCTACATGGGCCCTGTTTTGGGGCCCAATGGTTGTTCCAGACCCCCAGGCCGCGCAGCCATTTTGGTTCAGCGACCTGGAGGCCCACGGCCATATTCCAGGCCAGGCCCCCAGCGTTTATTATTTTTGCTGGTTGATTCAGTTTCAGCCGTTGTAGGCCAGGTTCAGATTTGTCCGTATGTGGGACTGAACCAGGCATTTGTCTGTTTGTGCCTGGCCCAGTCCTCAGGACCCTGCTGCATCAGCAGGATTGCCTGGACGTCCGGTAGGGACCCAGGCAGGCCGCTTTTTGGCCAGGATCGTAGGACCAGGACGGGGGCCTGCAATCAGGACCAGCGAT